CAGGGGTAGGTGGGAGTCCGTGAGTTCAGGACAGTCTGAGCTACAGAGTGAGTTCCAGGCCACAGCTATATAAGAGGAGGCCTAGCCTTCTTGTCCCTGCTGATGGGTAGAACATGGGAGCCTGCTTTCTTCTAAGTGTGAGATAAAATAATGTTCCAGGTGCTGAGATTTTCAACTTCCAAGAACTGTTGGGCATTTTTTGAATGTTTCTTATTTGAGAACATAGTTTGTTGTATAAAAGTTTGTCTTACTTTTTCATGGTTTCTGTTGGAGGCAGTACCTCTTCTTGCTGTACAAACCAAGCTGGCTTTGAACTTGTGATCCTCCTACTTCAAGTTCTCCAGTGCTGGGATTACAAGTGGGAGCCACCATGGCTACATTGTTACCATTTGGTTTCCACTGTCCTCTGTTTCCACTGAGCTCAGTTTTGTCTGTTTAACTATGTTTACCTTTTTTTTTTTGTTGTTGTTATTGGTTTTCCTCAACTATCTAGTTGTCATTAGCTGTGTATATTAAGGAATGAGGTACTAAGGGCTGTCTCATGCATGGTTCATTAACAGAGCACCTATTCAGTATACATGAAACCAGGGTTTCAATCTCTAACACTGAAAAAAAAAAACAAACAGGCATTATTAAACTAAGTCTCCATTGCTAGCCCACTGATCTCTGTAGGGAATAAGCTGGCACCCATACATTTATTGGCAATCTCCAAATACCAGCATCTCTAGGTCTTTTGTGTTGGGTTAGTCAGTGTCTCCATGGGAAGCTTCTGGGGTAGAATCATGCCTAGACTTATCAGTCAGCGGATGATTGACTTACGGAACACCAAAAAGAAGCATTTCATGGGTGGGAGAGATAGTTTAGTGGCTAAGAATGTTTGCTGCTCTTACAGAGGCCCAAGGTTTTGTTCCTAACACACACACAGACACACACACACACACACGAATAATGTGGCTCACAACCAAGTGTAACTCCAATTTTAGGTTATCTGATGCCTTTTTCTGCTGGCCTTAAGGACACCTGCACGCATGAGGAGCACGTGTATATGCTCAGTTCCTTACATAAGTACGTGTGTGCATGTCTGTGTGTGTGTGTGTGTGTGTTCCCATAGTCCAGAGAGATTCTGGATTCTCCACTGCAGTTTAAATTTCCATTTGCCTAGGTTTGACCCTAAGAACTCCAAGTTATCATATCATAGAGACACTGGCCACATCAATGCTCACTGCAGCACTGTTCACTGGGGCTAACTATGGAAACAGTCTAGATGTCCATCAACAGAGAAATGGATAAAGCAAATGTGGTATTTACACACAATGGTTTTTCCCTGCTGTAAAAGAGAATGAAGTGTCATTTGTAGGAAAGTGGATGAAATGGGAGATCATTGTATTAAACAAATTAGATTAGTCACAGGAAGTCAAATACAATACCTCTAATATGTGGCTCCTAGATTTTTACACAAACATAAAATCATGTAGGTATGCATGGCATGAAAGTAGATGCAAACGTGTCTAGGGGACACAGTAGAGTGTCTGAAGACAGGAATGGAGGGTAGACTATGCCAGACATACAACGCACACTTGTGTAACAGTATCATGCACAATAAATATGTATAGAGAAAATTTTCATTTCGTCAGGCTGTCAAATAGACCCTACAAGAAATGCTTGATTCTTACGGAAGAGGAGAAGCTCTGTCCACAGCAGGCTTCCTGTGCTGTCCATTGCTTCTTCCTGCGGTGCTTGTAGGAACTGCTAAGAAAGAGGGCCTAGGTGATCCCTTAGGCCCCCACAATCAGAAATACTTCTTAAACATTAAAGGCAATCTCAACAGAAAAAAGACAGCCCAGCCAGCATGATGCTACTAGTTTAATTACAGCACTCAAGGGACTAAGGCAGGAGAATTGGGAGTTTGAGGACAATCTGGGGATATGTAGTTAGACTGTATCTCAAAAGCTGAAAAAAGAAAAGGGGGAGTGAAAGAAGGAAGAAAGGAAGGGACTATCTGGGCTACCTACAGAATAAAATATGTACAAATCATGTATTCCAAAAGAAATAATATCTAGAATACATTAAAAAATTCCTAGCTGGGCATAGTGGCGCACACCTTAATTCCAGCACTCATGAGGCAGAGGCAGGGGAGTTCAAGGTTAGTCTGACCTACAGAATGAGTTCCAGGACAGCCAGGACTACAAGAAGAAATCCTGTTTTGAAAAACAAAACAAATATCTATGAGTCTGAATAACCTGATTCTAAAGACGTGAAAAAGGATTTGGAACAAGAATGTCAATCAGGGATGTGAGCAATGCATCCGGCACTGGAATATTACTAAGTCTTAAAGGAGTGAAACACTAATACATGAACTTGGATTAACATGCCCACAGGCCTGTTTGCTTTTGCCAGTCCCTCAATTCTCAAGTGACTTTAGGCCATGTCAAGTTGACAGCTGAAGCTAACAAGGACAGGACCTGAGTGAGCATGGACTTGGTATCTACAGGTAGGGGTCTCAGAACCATCAAATGGAACTTTACACTTGAGTTGGTGGTCTTCAGTGGAATGCAAACCTACCTAACGACACAGCTTCAGAACGAATGAGGCAACACAGGAGATTCTGGAGATGTGCAGCTTAGTGGTTCTCGCCCAGTCTTTATTTTTGCACTTAATTTCTGTCTCTCTGTTCAATGTCGTCTTCACAGAGCTCCTTTTTAAAATATTATATCTTTTTTTAATTTTTATTAACTACAGTTCATTCACTTTGTATCCCCCCCTGTAGCTCCCTCCCGTTTCCCCTCCCAATCCCACCCTCCCTCCTCCTTCTCCATGCATGCTCCTCCCCAAGTCCACTGATAGGAGAGGTCTTCCTCTCCTTCCTTCTGATCCTAGTCTATCAGGTCTCATCAGGAGTGGCTGCATTGTCTTCCTCTGTGGCCTGGTAAGGCTGCTCCTCCCTCGGGGGGGGGGGTAATTAAAGAGCAGGCCAAACAGTTCATGTCAGAGACAGTTCCTGTTCCCATTACTATGGAACCCACTTGGACACTGAACTGCCATGGGCTACATCTGTGCAGGGGTTCTAGGTTATCTCCATGCATGGTCCTTGGTTGGAGTATCAGTCTCAGAAAAGACCCCTGTGCCCAGATATAATATAGGATAAACATACTAAAATCTGTACACCTGAAGAAACTGGTCAAGAAGGAGGACTTGGCTAAGATGCTCAATCCCCATTCAGAAAGGCAAAGAGGATGGACATCAGAGGAGGGAGAAAACGGGGAACAGGACAGAAGCCTGCCACAGAGGGCAGGGTATCAGAGCAGATGCTGAGACTTATAGCCAAACTTCGGGGCGGAGTGCAGGGAATCTTATGAAAAAAGAGGGAGACAGTAAGACCTGGAGAGGACATTAGCTTCACAAGGAGAGCAACAGAGCTCTTAAACTAACCATTTTACTTAAAGTAGCCATTTCCCCAGCCTTTCAGTAAGTCTGCCTTTTCTTTGTTAGTAGTCACGACACTTGAATACTTTTGGTTTACTTCTTTGCTGCCAGTCCAAGCTCTAGCACACAAACACATTATCATCATTCTTTCAACCACATCATTTGCATAGAGCCTGGAATGTTGTAGGTGCTCTGGAGAATCCAATGGCTTCGGCCTCTGTGGGTACTTGCACTCTTGTGTCCCTACCCACATACAGGCACACGCATATACACAAATTAAAAATAAATATATTTTTTTAAAGAATCCAGTTGTGGGCCATCACGAAGCTTAGACGCTAAAGGAGTCTCACCAAACCTAGCCATTGAGTTGGCTCCCCAGGACCTGTATGGTCAAGGAGAGAACCGATTCCTACAACTTGTCCTCTGACTTTACACATGCCCACACGTAAATACATGAATATGTACAATTAAAAATCCGTGCCCTAGAAGTAGTTCTCCAAAGGTGAGAAAAGAGTGGGCGGTGCATCTACAGCGACCAACCACGGGAGGGCACTCCCTGGGGAGGGAGGGAGGAACGAAATTGTGTCAGTAGTAGGAAAGTGGATGAAAGGGGAGGTCGTATTGAAAAAATTAGCTCGCAGGATCTCAGTACCATATGCTTCCTCTAATATGTGGTTCCTACATAAAAATATAAACATCAAATCCTGCAGGGATGTTTGCCATGAAAGTAGAAACAAACTTGTCTTCTTCAGTCACAACAGGCTCGATGCAGACGCAGGAGGATCGCAAAGTCCTGTTTTTCTGAGACGTGGTCGCAAAATTAGCTCCAGCCTGCCCAGGAATTTGCCCTCCTCCTGCCTCCGCCTCGAGCCCGCTGTGGACAGAGCAGTGGAAGGCATGGGAAGCCTGCTGCGCACAGAGCTTTTCTTCTTCCCTAAGAGTTGCGCATTATTTTAGGGTCCATTTGACAGCCTGATAAAAATTAAAATTTTTCCACTGTACGCATTTATTGTGCATGACGCTGTTACGCAAGGATATTTTCATACAAGTGTGCACTGTATGTCCGACGTAGTCCCCTTTGCCTACCTTCTCACTATCCCCTCTTCAGATAGTCCCCTGTGTCCTCTAGCTAGTGGACAGAAGAGGTAATCGTTCAGAGTCCGGACTCCCTCTTGCTGAGTGACCAAAACAGGTGAGAGGAGCTGCCAGTTTAACCAACGGACGCAGCGGCGGCAGAGGCCGTTGTAAACAAACCGGGAGTCGCCGTGCTCAGACCCCTCCCCCATGTGGGGGAGTGAGTCAGTGAGTCCTTAGGAAGGAATCTGGGCGTGACCAATGCCGCCTCAGCCAATCAGAGCTGGGAGTCTCCAATGAGGGCGGGGCGAATGGGCAGAAGTTAAGACCAATCACGAGCTGGAACTTCTGAAAGAGGTGGGCGGGCATTGTTTCACATTTAGACCAATCAAGACCAGGTAAGTGAGCGGCATTCTCTTCTGTCCAATAGGTGGATGGGGCGGTGTCCGGCAGCCAATGACTGGCGCCAGGGGGCGGGGCCAAGCGCGCGTGTGGGGCCAAGGTACCCCGAGCGTTTGTGCGCCGCGGCTCGCGCTCTGAGGGGCGGCGCTGCGCTGTGGTGCGGACCTCGGGGCGGCGTTGTCCGCGCGGCCAGGTAGGTTCAGGCGTCGGGGCCGGCTCCTCGGGCCATCCGGGGACGCGCACAGCCCCGTTCGTCTCGGGCCGCCCGGGAGCGCGCGAAGCCCCTCTCCCCGCGGGCTGTCCGAGAGCGCGCAGAGCCCCTTTCCCGGCTCGGCCCGGCCCAGGCCGTCCGACGCCGTGGCGCTCGCTGGCCGGCTCTTCTCACCTCATCCCTTTTCACCATCTTTGCTATGACCTGTCCACTCCGGTCTCTTCTCCCTTCCACGAGGTGCACCCTCAACCTTAGGATTTTAGCCTCATTTTCCTGGAAACTAACATCTCTCACTTCGCTTCTTGTAGGCACCTGGAAGGCTGAAGGCGAGAGGGGCAGATGACGACGCTGAACACAGGTTCTTCAAGGTTCGAACGGGATTGGGCTTGTTTAAACTATTTCTGCCTCCCCTACATGCCATTTGATCACCCTCCTTTTCTAGAATCGTTGTCCCCATAAAGTGCTTTTGCTCAAAACTGCTGAAAATGCAGGTGAAAAGGCTTGCAGCAGCAACCAATTTGAAATGTGTTACGTGGATGCAACGGGATTCTATTTGGCAGAGCTTAGTCAAAGCATTAATTTACACTCTAAGGAAGGGCCTGGGCATCCCTGGCGTCCATAAGATACGGGACATATGTGATTATCACACACAACCTCTGGGTGAATTACAACAGCTCAGAGACGACCTTCAGCATTGTCTTCACAGAGAATTTGTTTGTACTTCCATAGTGTGACAGTGTTTGGCTTCCGGTAGTGGTTCTAGCCATATGTTTCTAGATGGTCTTTTACACCGCCTCATACCCAAATAAAAATATGCTAGACACTCACTGAGAAGAAAGTAGCTTATCACTCGTAGTTTTTAACCGAAATTTTAGAAGTGGAAGAACACTGGACCATGGGGGTTGTATTTTGGAAGCTGGAGGAAATCGAATATTAGAATAAGAGTACATACAGCCCTTTGGGCAGAGTGGGAAGGAGAGGGAGAATATATATGTGTACGAAACTGCATTGTTCTCATGTGATTTTCATGACTATATCTGGATTTTTTTTTTTTTTTTTTTTTAGTTCTCAAAACAGTAAGCAGTGAATTTAGCATCAGGTTCACTGTGTTTTGGAGTTTGTAAGCTTTTGTGGAAAAGCTTTACTATTGTTTTAACCTTTGTAGCATGTAACAGTATAGTTCCTTGTGTTTTGCTATGGTAAGATTTTTGTGTTTTAATAGAGAAAGTAGCACATCTGTTAGAGTTAGAGTGAATTAAAGCAGCGTTTACTCAAAGGTGACAGCATTGTCTCATAGGCCCATATGTTTGAGCCTTATTAGTGAATCCCACTGGAAAGCACAGGATCTTAAAATTGTTGTAATTTATGTCAGTTATAGTAGTTGGCAGAGTCATGGACAAATTGCAGATCTCTGAGTTGGTCACTATTATAAATTGTTGTAAGTGTGCACTTGAATACCAAATGTACATATCTTGTCTTCCATAAATCTGTACTTAGTGGCTACTTGTTTAGGAATTTAGAAGGTCATAGCTTTTGCTTTCTTCCTGAAGATCTTGATCTTAGAGTTTAGTAGAGGAGAGCTCTATAATTCTGCAGTTCATTGTGTGGGACGGGGGAAGAAGCCCTCTTCCTCCATGTTCCAGCCTCGCCTCTCGTTGCTCTGGACTTCCTGAAGTGCATTTTCTTAACCTACCTGTCTCGTGTAGATTATAATCTTAAATTCTGAAAAGCATTTACCCTGTTAGATTTTGTTCCCTATATTTTACAGAACAGAAAATGATTTTCAGAAATGTGATTTGCCCACTACCAGGTACCAGAGTTAAAACTCAAACTCTTCATTTAACCCCAAAGCTAGAACTTCTAGCACAGAACTAGCCCCTACTGCCTCTGTCCTCCGGCATCTCTGTGTGAGAACCTAACCAAGAAGGTCCAACCTTGCCTAGAACAGGTGCAAGGAGCAAGTGTACCGCTACCTGCATATCCATGTGCATGCCTAGTTTTCTTTTTGAGGCAGATACCTGACAAAAACAGCTTCAGGGAGGAAGGATTCGTTGTGGCTCACAGGTTAGGGTACAGTCCATCGTAGCGGCGGGAGTTGGAAGGAGGTGGTCCCCTTGCACTCATAGTGAGGAAACAGAGAGATGAATTCCCCAGTTTGGGATGCTGCTGCTCACATTGAGGGTGGGCTTCCCGCCTCAGTTAAACCTTGTGCCGTACCCAGTGGTATGTTTCCAGGGGGATTCTAAATCTAGTCAAGGTAACAGTGAAGACTAACCACAAAATGAATGACTTCGAAGCCACCACCAGTATTAGTTTGTAGGCTACATACAAGTTTTAACAAGTAAAAATATTTGCACATAAGAATTAGACTTGTGAATTATCCCTAGGTTCTCATTTCACGGTCCTCCTTCCCTCCAAATCCATCTAGAACGGTCCAGTATTAGGAAATGTACTCACTTATTCATTCATGCAACAAATATTTATTAAGCAATTATAAGCTGTATTCTATATAATAGCAAATAAGCTGGAAATTAAAGTCCTGCTCTCTGGTATTTGAGTCAGAAAGACAGCTAGGCTTGAGTAGGTCGAAATTAGAGATTATCTCATCTGGGTTTATACCAAGTACTCTCTTTCTTTCGGCAAAGCCCAAGAGGACTTCCAGACCATTTCTACTCTTTCATATTCTCTTCTCTTTGATCCCTTCTTCAGTAACCTGTGTGTGTTGGCAGGTGTGTGTATGTAAGTTTGAATGCATGCGGTATGTTTGTGTGCATGTGAATATGGAGACCAGAGGTCAACTTCAGGTGTTCCTTAGGAGCTGGCCACCTTTTTTTGTGTGTGTGGGGGCAGGATCTCTCACTGGTCTAAAAGTCAATAATTAGAGTAGGTAGACTGGCTAGCATACTTCAGAGATTGCCCATCTGCCCCCACAGTGCCAGTATTACAGACTCACACCACCATACTTGCCTTTTTACGGTGGCTTCTGAGGACCAGTATCAGGTCCTTACGTTTATTAGACAAGTACTTTACTAACTGGGTCATCTTCTCATTTGTGGGATATTGTCAAAGAATCCTGCTGACTGTTCTTTGAAATCTGGATCTTCCATCTACTAAATGAACAACTGTGGTCCAGCTTTAGACTTTTGAACTTGTGTCCTAACTTCGCTTTTGTGTTTCAGTGACGAGGCATACACACATTGCCTGTGGTGATGGTGGAATGAATGGAAAGGAGAATGGAAATCATTTCATCATCCACATTGTCTGGATCTTAATGCTTTCAAAACCATATAGAGCAGTTCCCAACCTTCCTAATGCTCTGACCCTTTAATATGGTTCCTCATGCTGTGGTGACCCCAACCATAAAACTCTTTTGTTGCTACTTCATAACTGTAACTTTGCTACTCTTATGAATTGTAATGTAAATATCTGATAAGCAGGATTTCTGTTATGCAACCGTGTTCAGTATCCAAAGGGGTCATGGCCCACAGGTTGAGACCCACTGATACAGAGCAGTACCAATACTTGGCAATACTTGGCAATACTTAAGATATGGTTTTGGCCAGGTGCCGAGGTGCATTCCTGTAATCCCAGTACTTGGGGAGGCAGAAGCAGGTGGATCTCTGTGAGTTCAAGGCCAGCCCTGTCTACAAAGTGAGTCCAGGACACTAAGGCTTCACAGAGAAACCCTGTCTCGAAAAATAAAAAAAAAATAAAAAGACATGATTTTAGTCCTGGATACCTACCTTCTCATGCTCTATCCACCTAACATTTAGGTTTTCCAGAGGAAACTAACACTTGTTTTAGCAGATCTTTAATCTGCTAAAACAAGATTCTTATCGGACAGAATTTTTACTCAAGCCAGGGTCTTGGTTCCTGATCTCTAAGTTTAACCTATATGTTGTCTTTAGCTGAGGTCTGAGTCCTGGTCTGATCTCTCATATACAAAGAAAAGGGATTCTGTCTCATGTACTAGTATATTTGAATAGGATTCTAGAGACAGTTGTTTTTCTTCAGAGGATAACTGAGGGGTCCTCGGGTTTGTGGGTTTCTCTTTAGACACCTATCTTACATGATAATAGATACTACAAGATAAAGCCATCTAGCAAAATGGTTGACACATGTCAAATTTTCAGTACGTTTGCCTCCTGGTGCTGCATCTAGTTATATTGTGGTAAAACTAGTTGTTCATATAGCTCTTTTCTTTACTACACCGAGCTCCATGACCGCAGGCTCCAGTGTTCCATCCTTCAACCTTTGATGCTTGGCTGAGAGCCTGACACATGGCAGCTGTTGAACAGGTATCTGAGCTGGGGACTTCTCAGCTCCTCCTGAAAGGCTTCCCAGAGAAGGTGTTATTTTAAGTAGATTTCCCCCTCATAGACTACAACTGTTTATTTAGCTAATCCCTTTGGTGGATAACATCGTACTTTTACAAACAATGATGATGAGCCCAGCCACACTCCCAGTTCAAGCCTATACACCCTTGATGAAGCCTCTGAATTAGTTCAGATTAGATTCCCAACTGTTCACATGTTTACTAGGGTAAAAGTTAGCCCCCTTCCTAATTCTTAATATATACAATAACATGAAGCAAGACTTATTTGGATGAAGCCAGTATACCCTTAAGGGATGTATATGTATCTCATTAAAATAACTAAACAACACCATTAGCCTATTTCTTTTTTACAATGTATATATCTGCATGTATACACATGAACATACATAGCAGGTATGAAATAAAAATTACTGTCTGAGGAAGGTATCTCTGCAATGCTTTGTAGGTTCCTATTTTGTCTATGTACTTTTTGTGCTTTCCAATTTTTACAATAGTATGTGCTATTTCTGTATTATAAAAATTTCATTGAAAATGCCAATTCAAGCTGGGAATGGTGGTGCACACATTAATCCCAGCACTCATGGAGGCAGAGGCAGGTGGATCTCTGATTTTGAGGCTTTACTACAGAGTAAATTTCAGGATAGCTGGGGATACACAGAGAAACCCTGCCAGAAAGGAGTGGGGGAAGAAAGAAAGAATAAGAAAATACCAATTGAAGTAAAGTAGGCCCACTCCTTGCATGTCTATGCAGTGACTCTGTGCCCAAGGGCACATCTCAGAAAATTCCCCTCAGCAGTGTGCTTGTCAGTAGCCACTCCTTTCCTCTAAGTTAGACTGCATTTTCCTCTGTCTCTTGTACTTCACTGTGGTAAGTCAGTTGTTAGTCTGTCTCTGCTGTGTGAGCTCTATGAGAGCGAGTCTCACTATATTTCAGCGTTAAATAATGTAGGATGCATGGGCAAGTCATAGCTGGTGAGTGAGTGACGTCGCTGTGAAAAGACTGAAGAATTGAATACCTGCGTGAGTAAAGAG